AGAGAGAAGGCTCTAAAAGTCAGTGTGGGGGGGGGACCCCAGCCACTCCTGCTGGCAAAAGAAGAGGATGTTGCAACCAAAAGGTCAAAACCTACAGAGGATAATAAATTTTGTCACGAACAGGTAAATGCATGTCTTTTCCCTTTGCTGTTTTATTATTTTAATTGTTCATGGTAGTTTTAGAGCCTCACATAGTTCCATGCTCTTGAAATGAATGTAGACATTGCAATTGGCAATATACTAAACCCTTGGCATTAGGACGAATGTTCTGAAGTCGTCAAAATACATGAACTAACAGTGGCCATGTTTATTCATTATTTTCCAGTTCTATCAGTGTCCTTATTGTAACTATAATAGTAGGGACCAAAGTCGTATCCAGATGCATGTCCTGTCACAGCACTCGGTGCAGCCGGTCATCTGCTGTCCCCTCTGCCAGGACGTCCTCAGCAACAAAATGCACCTCCAGCTGCATCTGACGCATTTGCACAGCGTGTCTCCAGATTGTGTGGAGAAGCTGCTTATGACGGTAAGGATACCAAATGTTGATGCATGTGTGACATACTCTGTACAAAGCTATCAATACCAGGTCTGTCATTGTAAGTTGCTAGAAATGTATTTCTGAGCCAGTTGAAACTCATTAATTAATTAATTTATTACGCTATGGAAATCACAGTGAAGGCCCACTGTGAACGTTTTTGCTTAAAGAAAATATATGGTACAAGGCATAGCTTAGTTAAGGACATATTAAGTGGTCTTTTTATGTCTATAAATGTTAATCAAATGACTCATATGGGCATCTTCAATTAAAAAGTTCGATGGTTATTATTATAAAAAAATAGCCCTACGAAAGATGGCCAAACTCTAATTAAAAAAAAGAAAAAGAAGAAGAATAAAAAGCATTGTACAGCATCAATCTGAAGTGTGAAGGGATAGTATTTGTCTGTAGCATCCACCAAATGTCCCTACTTGGAGTGAAACAGTGCATGTAGAATGTGTTATTACCAAATGGGCCATGTGATAGAATTTGTTATTTCTGGGATATATTTAACGTGGACCCCTCCGGTTTCCAAAGGTGCCTGTCCCTGATGTGATGATGCCAAACAGCATGCTACTGCCAGCAGCCACCTCTGAGAAGTCAGGCCGGGACACACCTGCAGCCATGGCAGCTGAGGGGTCTGGGAAGTATTCAGGTATGCCAGCCCGTGATTGAGATCTGAGGACAATACACCCAGCAGTTTGCACTTGTGGCCGTACTCCAAGATTATTGCTATCAAGAACTTAAAAAAAAAAATAAATAAAAAACACAAAAGAAGATAAAGTATAACATTTCCAAGAACCATATTTTTGAAGGCACATTTACTATCTATCAGGTTATCTGTAACCATCCTTGGGAGATCCATTGGCCAGATGGCCAAGAATATTCTGTGTGTTCTAATTCATGAACATTAAGATTATGATCCTTCGTATCCCACTAATTTCAGCATACTATTATTGCCTTTGACTGGCTTCCTTTCCTATCCTGAAATGCCTTGAGGTTAGGGATGATTTTTTTATTTACATCTCTAGTATCCAGTCCAGTGCTTGGCACATAATAGTTACTCAATAAGCATTGCTTTAAAGAATTAGTTAAATAGGAATTTATGGACTCTTATTTGCAATATGTATTGACATTTAAGCAGCAAGTTTTCTTACTGTAAGAGATATGTTTGTGCTTTCTCCTTACAGGTGAAAGTCCAATGGATGACAAAAGTATGGCAGGTCTTGAGGATTCAAAAGCTAGTGTGGAAATAAAGAGTGAAGAGCAGAAACTAACTAAAGAACCCTCAGAAGTGTCAGAATGGAATAAAAATACCAGTAAGGATGTGAAAATCCCTGACACACTGCAAGAGCAATTAAGTGAGCAGCAAAAAAAGCAATCACTCTCTGTTTCTGACCGCCATGTTTATAAGTATCGTTGTAACCATTGTAGCTTGGCTTTTAAAACTATGCAGAAGCTTCAGATACATTCCCAGTATCATGCCATTCGGGCTGCAACGATGTGTAATCTCTGCCAGCGTAGTTTCCGTACATTCCAAGCTTTAAAAAAACACTTGGAAGCAGGCCACCCCGAACTGAGTGAGGCTGAACTTCAACAGTTATATGCCTCTTTGCCCGTGAACGGCGAACTGTGGCCAGAGAGCGAAACCATGACCCAGGATGACCATGGCCTAGAGCAGGAAATGGAGAGAGAGTATGAGCTGGACCATGAAGGGAAGGCGAGTCCTGTAGGAAGTGATAGTAGCTCTATTCCAGAAGACATGGGCTCTGAACCAAAGCGGACCTTGCCTTTTAGAAAAGGACCCAATTTTACAATGGAAAAATTTCTTGATCCATCTCGTCCATATAAATGTACAGTGTGTAAAGAGTCATTCACCCAAAAGAACATTCTCTTGGTCCATTATAATTCAGTTTCTCATCTGCATAAGTTGAAAAAGGTTTTGCAGGAAGCCTCCAGTCCTGTTCCCCAAGAAACCAACAGCAACACAGACAACAAGCCCTACAAGTGCAGCATCTGCAATGTTGCGTATAGCCAAAGCTCGACCTTGGAGATCCACATGAGGTCTGTGCTCCATCAAACAAAGGCCAGGGCCGCAAAGCTGGAACCCAGTGGTCATGTGACCAGTGGGCACAGTATGGCCGCGAATGTTAACAGCCCCAGCCAAGGGATGTTAGAGTCCATGAGTTTAGCAGCCGTAAACAGCAAAGAGACCCACTTAGATGCCAAAGAATTAAATAAAAAGCAAACTCCTGAATTAATCTCTGCTCAACCTACACACCACCCTCCACAGTCACCAGCACAAATTCAGATGCAACTACAACATGAGTTACAGCAGCAAGCTGCATTCTTCCAGCCTCAGTTTCTAAATCCAGCCTTTTTGCCTCATTTTCCTATGACCCCAGAAGCACTGCTGCAGTTTCAGCAGCCTCAGTTTCTTTTTCCATTCTACATACCTGGGGCAGAGTTTAGCTTGGGGCCAGATTTGGGCTTGCCAGGCTCTGCGACCTTTGGGATGCCTGGCATGACAGGAATGGCTGGCTCATTGCTTGAAGACCTGAAGCAGCAGATTCAAACCCAGCATCACGCTGGCCAAACTCAACTCCAAATACTACAGCAACAAGCACAACAGTACCAAGCCGCACAGCCCCAGCTGCAGCCTCCGAAACAGCAGCCGCCGCAGCCACAGCCGCAGCCGCCACAGCAGCAGGCGGGCAAGTTACTGAAACAAGAGCAAAACAACGTGGTGAGTGCAGACTGCCAGCTCGTGAAGGATGTACCATCTTACAAGGAGGCCGAAGAGACCGAAAAGCAAGAAAAACCAAAGCAAGAATTTGTAAGCGAAGGTGAAGGACTCAAAGAAAGCAAAGACACAAAGAAGCAAAAGTCCTTAGAATCCTGCATCCCACCTCCAAGAATAGCTTCAGGGGCCAGAGGAAATGCAGCCAAGGCTTTATTGGAAAACTTTGGTTTTGAACTGGTCATTCAGTACAATGAGAACAGGCAGAAGGTACAGAAGAAGGGTAGAAGCGGTGAAGGTGAGAACACGGACAAACTGGAATGCGGAACGTGTGGGAAGTTGTTCTCCAATGTGCTTATTTTAAAGAGTCACCAAGAACACGTGCATGGGCAGTTTTTTCCATATGGAGCGTTAGAAAAATTTGCTCGTCAATACAGGGAGGCCTATGACAAGCTTTATCCGATTTCTCCATCTTCACCGGAAACCCCGCCTCCACCACCTCCACCTCCTCCCCTGCCTCCAGCTCCTCCTCAGCCTTCTTCTATGGGTCCCGTGAAAATCCCGAACACGGTTTCTACTCCTCTGCAAGCTCCACCACCCACTCCTCC